ATTGGCCCTGGTATCATGTGATCTCTCACATGGTTTAGTGGATTCAAGCCATTAAGGATCCCTCAGTGGGCAAGCTGCCAAGCATAAGTTAAGATCTTGGTCTTATGTGCATTCCTGCACTCTTGCAGCAGCTCTACGAGATGATTTTTGAAACAGACCAATATTGTAGAAAAGAAATGGCAAACAAAACTAACAAAAAATTATAATAGTAAATTACAAAGTCACGAGGACATGACACGCAGGTGGATCTTCGAACAGAAACAATGAAAGCATGCACTACTGAACTGTCAGCATGCACAAATAAAACAAAACTGCTCCAAACTCCCGAATAAGAAAAGAGCAGAAAAACAAAAAGGAACACAGATTCTGAAAACTTGCTATACGTGTTGCAATCCTTTACAAAGGTCACTTTTGGGTGCAGAGAAGAGCAAATAAGACAAAAAAGAGCCAAAGAAATCATGAGTCCAGCCCTCAAAGATAACATATTCAGAGTCCACCTGTCACGTAGGCAAACTGACAGGTTTCTTATATGAACATACCTGCACAACAGCAAATAAAGGAGCATTCTTGCTCCTGCAGTCACAAAGGCTGACCTCTGTTAAACAATAAGCTCAGAGCCACGCTTCATTTCTAGTCACCATCAATATGAACAGCGTTAGGCAACATTGTTGTTCATCTAATGGAAGATTGCATTCAAGGAAAAAGTGATAGTGCCACATACTCTGTGGCAAAAATGATTTGTGTTTTGGTTGCAAATTGCTCGCCAAGATCATGCGCATTGAACTTTAAACCAGCTGCCACAAAAAAAATGAAAAACATTTAAAAGCTATATATCATTTTTAAAACCACGTTTAAAGACATGACGCGTGTTTGGAATGAAAATTGTGTTCCTTTTATTTTCTCTCCTCTAATTAATTTAAATGGAGCCTGTCGCCATCAGTCATTTGTGCATGTTCATTTTAAAATACCACGGTGTCCTTAATGATTTTATGATCATATTTAATTGCAAACAACTAATTTTATTTTAACTTTATGAACCGAGTATAGTGAAAATGGAAAATTAAAACTATTTACTGTAAATAGCTGACACTTGTTGTCAGGTATAATCGTGCGTTTTTCCTGTATCAACTCTACAAGAAAGTTATCAGAAACCCATGAAGGAATACCGGAAGCTACTCAAATGCTTTTCAAAATGTTCGCAAGTAATACTCTTACACACTGCTTCTAAAACAATATTTACATCGTGCTCTGATTTTAAGTTGATCTAATCATGCTATGGATCTTTAAGTAACTCGCTGATCAATAACTCTCGAGAAATTACGTGTGATTGTTTAAAATGAACGCTGCTAGAATTTTAATTTGAAGCCGCAAACCGGAAGTAGGAGAATACGCTGGTGTAGTTCGAGGGTCAACTTGTTTCAGGAAGTCCGGGCAAAAAAAAAAAAAAAAACGAACCTGTCGCAGAATAAACTGAAGTCGAGTCAACTGTAAACACCAGTACGCTTAAATTATTCACGCTAACGTGTAAAAACAAAACTAAATGTTACGTTTATCGTAAACAACTTTTGACAAGAGAAACAAACGGGCACTTGTCGTCGCTGTCGCACGTATGCCCCGCAGTTGTCGCTTCTGTCGAGCAGGACGTTATTTCCTGGACATGAACCGCTGACCTCCATGTTTTACAGCTTTATTATCCGAACGCGAAGGGTCAAATCGTGGCTCACGACGTAAACAGTGAAATCGAAACATCTTAAAAGAGCGATAACCTTGGTGTAAAGTGATGGGGGCAGAGCAGCGTTTCTTAAATGAGGGGGTGGGATCGGACGAGCAGAGGGAGGGAAGGGGGGAGTCGAGCGGAGAATGAGAGGAAACTTACCTGAGAGTTGAGCTGCCATGAGCGGCCTCAGGGCGCGGGATGTGGTCGGTGAGGTGACGGTCAGCGGGACGGAGCGGCGGGAGCGCGCAGAGCCGGAGCCGCCATGTTCATCTGCCTCGGCTGTTTGTCTTTACTGGTGGACCCCCTCCTCCTGCTCCACCACCACCTCCACCTGCGTGTCTCCGCCGCTTCACACTAAAACACCACCGACAGCTTTTTAATACCAGAAACAAGCAGCCGATTATCAGACATCTCTTTCTGCTAAAACAATTGTTCAATTTTAATATTATACAAGTATTTTATATTTTCATTTTAACTATAGATCAAAAGTGATTTTCTGTTATAGTCATGTAATATTCCTTTTAGGAAGTTAAACTTGTTTCTAGGCCTGTTATTGTCTATATTTACCTTTCTGCAGGGGCGCTTCTAGAACATTCAGTGGTGGGGCCAGATAGGGGGTGGGGGGCACTGAGAGGGGTGGCACACCAAAATCAACAGGCATTCCACTTTTTAAAATGTTACGTGTGCTATTTGAAAAATACTGCAATGTCAGAATCTTTATTGACATTACACAACAAACTAGAAAATATTTTATTCTACAAAAATGATAATTGTAGAAAACTTTGCTAAAATTTGTTGTAAGGGCTGAGGCCCTGTTTTTATATAAACATCTCTTAAAATGTTAGCAATTTTCCAATTAACATTTAGTTTATTTATATGGTGCCAAGTCACAACATAAGTTAATGTCAGGGCACTGTACAAAAACATTCACACGCATTATTCATTCAACCTTTATTTAGACGAGTTAATCCCATTGGGCCTCGGGGACTCATTTACAAGAGAGACATGATTTTAACAAAGAGTGAAGACAACAGTGGATAACAACGACAACCTGACTTCTTTATAAAAAATATTATGTATATATATATATATGTATGTAAATATTATATTAAATATATTAAATATTTATATACATATATATATAAACACATATGTATATATATATATATATATATATATATATACACATACATGTACATATATACACATATATACATATAAATACATATACATACACACACATATATACACACACACATATATATACATACATATATATATATACATACATATATATATATGTATGTAAATATTATATTAAATATATAAAATATTTGGGCAGCACGGTGGCGCAACTGGTAGAGCTGCTGCCTCTCAGCGAGCAGGTCCCTGGTTCAAATCCCGGTCCGGGGGCCTTTCTGGGTGGAGTTTGCATGTTCTCTCTGTGCATGCGTGGGTTTTCTCCGGGTACTCTGGTTTCCTCCCACAGACCAAAAACATGCATGTTAGGCTGATTGGTAACTCTTAAATTGTCCCTAGGTTTGAGTGGGAGAGTGAATGATTGTTTGTCTCGTTTGTCTCTATGTGTCCCTGTGATGGACTTGCGACCTGTCCAGGGTGTACCCCACCCCTCGCACAGTGATTGCTGGACATGGGCACCAGTGACCCCCGTGACCCAAAATGGAATAAACGGGTAAAGATAATGGATGGATGGATGGATATATACACACACCACACACACACATATATATACATACATACATACATACATATATATATATATATATATATATATATACATATATATATATACATATATGTATATATATATATACACTTTATAAATGCCACTTAGTAAAGTGAAGCCATCATAAAAAAAACACGTTTACACTGTAATGCTGTGCTCTTTGAATTCTCTAGTTTTAATGTCAGACAGGGTTACTAGAAAGGAAATGGTGAAATATTGTACTGTTGTTTTGAAATACTGTATTTTAACCCAAACTATCATAGTGTACGTGCTAAGTAAGCTGTGCTTTTTTTGACCAACAGAGAGGAGGTTGTAAAACGATGTTTGTTGTGTTTTGCGAGCGTGTGTACAGAACAGGACGCGGGCTAGATTATACAAATATAATTATAGTAATCTGGTAATACTTTACTGGCTGACGCTGTGATTTTTGGCATTCAGTGAGAAACGCTCACACAGACAATTCAGTTTTAAGCATGACATCACTTACATCCAAAATGTTGAATACTGGAACTTTCCTTTGGATCGAGGCTACAGCTTTTAAGTATTTTTATTTAAACTTTTTAATTAAAAATAAGTGTTTAATTAGTAATTCTTCAAAAACAGTTTTTGTTTTCTTTGTTTATGAGGTTCTACTAATCCTCACACCAAACAAAAGCTCAAGGCTCAGCAGGATAAGATCGTCAGCTACTTTATGGTGTGTACGAGTTTCCGTGAGTTAGTTTGCATCGGCGCTAAAAGCCCAAATAAAAACAGACTAATTCACTGGGAGGCTGGTCAGAATGATCATGAACTGCAAATAAATACAACTTCTAAACTCTGGATTTGACAGAAAATTGAAGTTTTCATTTAAGTGAATAAAACATAAGGAAACCCGTGCACGTAGCAAGCTTTTTTATTATTCAGTTCCTGAAACAAAAACCTTTACATCTTCTTAACAGTAAATCTGTTCTGCATACGGAACATATTTTCTGCTTTGTGTGGATGATGTGGTTCTGCTAGCGTTTTCAGGCCAACCTTCAGCGTGTACTGGGGCAGTTCGCAGCTGAGTGTGAAGCAACTGGGATGAGTCAGTTCCTCAAAATCTGAGGCCGTGGTTCTCGAGCAGAAACAAAACAGGTGGAGCGCCCCCTCCGGGTCGAGAGAGAGGCTTTGCCCCTCTTAGAGGAGTTCAAGTGACTGGGCGTCTTGTTCACGAGTGAAGGTAGGAGGGAGCAGGAGATGGATCCACGAATTGGGGCCTTGTCCTCAGTAATGAGAGTGTTGCTTCGGTCAGTCAAGGTGAAGAAAGACAAGAGTCAAAAGATGAAGTGCTTGATTTACTGGTCTGTCTACGTTCTTTATTATGGTCATGTGTTTTGGATCATGATCGATAGAACAAGATCCCAGATACAAGCAGCTGAAATGAGCTTCCTTTGGTGACCGGGCTCAGCCTTAGAGATGGTGTGAGGAGCTCCATCACCCAGAGGGAGCTCAGAGCAGAGCTGCTGCTCCTCTGCATCAAAAGGAGTCAGATGAGGTGGTTCATCTGATCAGGATGCCTCCTGGACCACTCGCTTTGGAGGTTTTCCAAGCATGTTCCACTGGTAGGAGGCGCCGGGGTTGATGGAGGGATTGTGAATCTTCTCTAACTTGGGGTCCAACGAGCTGGAAAGTGTCACTGGGGAGAGGAACGGGGCTGTATGGGTTTCTCTCTTGGACCCGTTGCCTCCACAACTCGACTACAGATAAGAAGTAGAAGATGGAGATTTAAATCTGTTGCTTCCAATTGTCTGTTCAAGTTATTTGACCAACACTGCCACCTAGTGGACACGTGAGGGACTTTCCTGTTGTAACGTTTCATCTATAACTTCAAACAAAACTAGGTCAATGTATGTGTGTGTGTGTGGTGGTGGTGGTGGTGTGTGTGTGTGTGTGGGGGGGGGGGGTATATATTTAACGTGGGCTGAATAAAGATGCACTCCTTGCCCTGTGACAGTCAAGAGCCTGTGTGGAGCCACAAACACAACTGATAACCTGTTAAGCCACTAAATGACTGTTAAGCAGGTAAGAGCTGTTCTGAGATCAGTTAAACACACACCAGTGGCAGGGCGGTGCAAACGGGGCATTGATAAATGTTCAGAAAGCCCGAGGGCTTCACAAACAACGCAAATTAATGAAATAAAGGGCAGTGCCTCCGGTAAGAAACCCTATCCACACGCACATATTTACATTACGATGGCACAACACCAGGAAGTTGTTCTGATATGGAAGATGTGCAAAACTAGGTGCATAAAATGTTTTAGAACTGGTTTAAATAGTTCAATATTAACTATATTCTAGAAAAACAGAACACAAGGAGGAAAGGTTCTCGTCTAATTAAAATAGTTCTATTCAACTTCCAGATGTTTGCATTTCGTCTCACAGCTGGAGTATGATGCGTTTAAAGTTCTAAACTGATGATGACTGTAGTGTCCACGCTTAATTTGGCAGAGAGGAGGACAGTGGCACGACGGAGCCGAGCCGCTGCTCGGACAAATGAAGGACTCGGCTGACCTTCACACATTTCCAACGTGTTCGACTGCGACACAAGCAGCAGCTTGGAACGTGTTTTTAACGGAGAGCACTCGAAGCAACGCGCCAAACCACCACATCACACACTTTTTGATCAACAACGGCATTCAAGTATGAAGGTTATCATGTCAGACAACCATGGAGGTGGACCTTCACCCCTCAGGTTAGATTTGATCGTTTCTCTCCTCTGCGTGGTTGGACATTACAGATTACTCCTCCACTTGTTGCTTTGAGTCGAGCCGTGCACTGGAGGGGGACGAAGTAGTGACGTTAGATCACAGTCATCCAACAAACTGAAGAGTTTCGTTGTAAGCGTTTTATTTTGACATCAGCAGCAACAGGTGACTTACCTGAACTGATCTTGCCTTCCTTCTCCAGTTTCTTCAGGTGATGGACCAGGTTGATATTAGCAGCTTGGTGCAGGTGTTCAGGAGTATCCTGGATGAAAAGCAGCAGAAAGATTTACAGTAGTCCCTCGTTTATCGCGGGGGTCCAAGCCCCGCAATGAGTGAAAAACTGCAAAGTAGGGATAGTAATACAAGTAGTAAGTAGTAGTTTATTTTAGTATTTATATATAGGCCTGTCGTGATAAACAATAAATCAATTAATCGCATGATAAATGAAAATTATCGACCTCGTTTTCATTTATCAGCTTTATCGTTTCTTCGTGTCTCTCTTTCTACTGAAGACACTGGATGAGAAAAGGTTCAACTCCGGTTCTTCACTGACCCCTCCCTTTCTCTTTTCTTTTAAAATCCATTTTAACGATCCATAATCACGTTTTTGGATCGTTAAAAGCAGCTAAGCTGAGAAGCTAAGCTACGAGCTAAGGAAAGCGGAAAAAAAAAACGTTGTTTTGTCCAAAATTCACGGTTGAAATCTGTGCCTTTGTGTAAAAAATTGCTTTTCTCAGCAAAAAGAAAATGAGAACTTATTTACTGATTTTTATTAAAAGCTTTGTTGAAAAAAAAGCTATGCTAAAGAGCTCAAACCACACCGAGCGTCCACCATTTTGAGAACCGGAAAACGGGAACGAGAGACAGCTCATGTCACGTCAAGGGGCCTCCCTCCCATTTTTCTTAAAGAGACACGCTGCTCGCTCCCTCACTATCCATCCTTCGGTTCAAACAGTCTTATACTGCCATCCAGTGGTCAAAAAAAGGTACTACACTCAAAATACATTAACCAACATTTTTCTCTTAAATTTGACAGTAATTACTAATTATTGTCAAATTTCAAACATTATTGTTTATCGCAATAATTTCTGACACAATTAATTGCCCAGCAAAATTTGATATCATGACAAGCCTAATATATATAGTCGTTTTAAACCTTTCCCACACTACTGCAATATTCTAAACAACGTTTCTAAACTTTAAATGCTCTAAAAGTGCACAGAATGTCATGCTTTCAGCTCCCTGCATCCTCTTTGCCACCTGCAAGCGTTCTTGGCCACGCCCACGTCTCCACTCTGCACAAGAGCAGCTGATCAGCTGCAGGAGGAAGCTTATCCTGCAGTGTGGGCTGCACAAATATGCAGAAGGTGCTAAATAATTTAAAATAATTTATTTTAAATAAAAATTTCATGCCGATCGTGCAGCTCATCCATCAATCAGCCAGTTGTGTGTCATGTCCACTCTTATTTTGAAAACCGCGATAGAGCGAGTCCGTGATAAACGAACCGCGGTGTAGCGAGGGTCTACTCTAGTTGTTTTGTGTCTGTGGCTACAAAGCAGAGAGAAGCTCAGATTTAGTTGGCCATGGTGGTTTGTGCGATTAGCTGCAAGTTGTTTATAAAAATAAAAACCTTCACAGACATTTCGACTGACAACTTATCATATTTACTATTTTTGAGGAAGTAGGCATTACAGCACAGTCTTACTGGGGTTCATACTGTGGAGGGGGGTGCTCACTAATCGTCCACAACAGAAACTACATGCAGTGAAGTGCCAAGTATTTGTACATTACAGAGTTCTTTTGTTTTTACTTCTTTTGTTTGTCACATTTAAATGTTTCAGATCAGCAAACAGACGTTAATACAAAAATACAAAATCTTTTCAAATTATTTTATTTACTAGAAGATAAAAATGTGATCCAAACCAATCTGCCTTTATGTAGAAATCGTAAATGTCCTCCGTGTTGAAGGTACAAATTATGAAGCCAAACATAAAAGGTCGGATCCTGAACTATATCAAACGGTGCCGTTTCAAAGAGTTTTCTTTGTTTTCCAGATGAACTGATATGAAATTTTAAAAAGCAGGTACCGTATTTTTCACCGTACACGTCGCACCGCCCTATAAGTCTCATCGGTCCAAATACTTGGCTGCCAAATGGCAGCCGCGGGAGCGTGCACGGGAGGACCTCAACAAGACTTTAATAAGATTAACAATTAAAACAATTATTTGTTTGCTCGAATTTATAGCAAAGGTGTGTCTCAGATGAACTTTTACTTAATAAATCACTTCAGTGGTCAAATTAGCTGCATTTTGCCGGGGTGGTGCAGCGAAATGAAGCTGATTTGACGGTTGCTCCAGGCAGACGACGGTCAGTCTATGGCAAGCCGATTGTGTCATTAATAGCCACTTTTTACCTATTACATGATACAACGGCATGCCACACTACTCGACTGCCATCTAGCGGCTGAAAATGGTCGTGTTCAATATTTGATCTATTTTCAGTCACTTTAGCTGTTTCTGTATGTAAACAAGCACACGTTGTCGCTGGCAGCCATTTTTAATTTTTTTTTATTAACCTTTATTTAACCAGGCAAGTCCCATTGAGATCACAGATCGCTTTTGCAAGGGAGGTCTGGGCCTGAAGGCAGACTAACATGCATGTTTTTGGTTTGTGTGAGGAAACTGGAGTACCTGGAGAAAACCCACTCAAGCACGAGAAGAACATGCAAACTCCACACAGAAAGACCCCACGTGCAACTGGGAATTGAACCCAGGACCTTCATGCTATGAGGCTAACCACTGAGCCGTCGTGCTGCCCCATACACATACACAAAGTATGCCTACTCATTTTTAATTTAGGGACATTTTACTAAACAATGAGAAAAAAGTTCTGATTTTGTTTCTTATTTTATGTTTTTTTAAATCACTCTTCATGACATTGTAATTACTACCTTCAAATAATTAAGTGTTGTTTTTAGCAAGCCAAGGTCAGTTTTATGAGCCACACAAGGCCTGATAACTGCCAGACCTGTAGGATCCAGAAATCAGTTAAATAGAGACCAAATCCACCGATGGAGAGAACCTGAAACAGTAGTGAACCTTCCAGGAGCAACACGTTGGTAAAAATGACTCCCGAGATCTCAGCGAAACCTCCTCCAGGAGGTCCCGAAACGAAAGTGAGCAAAACCAAAAGAAATCTGTGAGGAGTGAATCCTTTTTCACCGCACTGTTTAAACGTATTCTAGTTGCTGTTTTTGCTTCTTCTTCTACAGACAACAGGCAGGAAAAAGCCCGACACACAGAGAGGTTCTCCTGACCTTGTAGACGATCTTGACGAGCTCCATGGAGGAAAACGGTTTCCCCGCTCCATCGTGGATTGCTGTCAGGATCTGCTGTTCTCTCTGGTCCCGGTGGCTGATGTAGTAGCTGATCTTGGTGCCAGCATCCTGAACTACAGGCCCGTGCCCTGCTCAGGGATCAGCAGAAACAGTTGGAGGGCTCTACTTCAGGCATGTGCAGTTACAGTATTGTTGTAACCGATCAACAGGCAGTCTGACGACATGCTTTCCAAAGATTTTACAAAGTGAATCAACTAAAACATACCGGGGTAAATGAGGTCAGCCTTGGAGTCCAGGAGGATCTTCAGAGACCTCATGTAGTCATAGAGATCCTCGAACACGGCCGTGCCTTCACCCAGAATGCAGTCTCCAGAAAAAATCGCCTGCTCCTCCTCCAGCAGCAAGGCCATGTGGTCATCAGTGTGTCCCGGGGTGAAAAGCACTCTGACAAAAAATTTAAAATAACTCAACGATGGACCCGGACTCATCACTCGCTCTAATTTGAAACTGATTTCCAAATGTTTGTTTCCCGAGTGGTGTTTTAACGTCATGTTTAAAATGTTCTACGATCTGTTCGTGAGGTGAACCCACTTGAGTGTGGCTCCCTCCGTCTGGATGACATCTCCATCATTCAGGTAAGAGTAGCTCTTCTTTCCAGCCGTCTCTGTGGCCTGGGTGCAGCGTGGCAGTTTGCTGACTCGGACCTCAGATCCTGCAGGAACAACAAACAGAAAAAAAAAATCCCATCTTCTATCATTTTATTCCAAAGAGTATATAAATACATGTCCTTGGAGCAGTTTGGAACCATAAGTACTATGAATAACAACAGAACTGATATCATTATTCACTTTTGGTGACAAAATCCTGCAAAAATAAACAACTAGTTCTTAAAGAAGCCACACAAACAGCCCCAACCGGTTATGTCTCTGCAGATATCTTCCACTCCTCCGATGTGATCATAATGCCAGTGGGTGACGATGATCTCCTGGATGCTGGTGTTGAACTGGCCCAGTGCAGTTCTCAGGTTGTTGATGTAATCAGGCACAGCAGGTTCCCCAGTGTCTATAAGGACGCGTCTGCAGCACGCAACACAGTGAATGTTTCACGTAATTTAAGTTTCTTACAGATTTTATGAACATATATATTAAAAAAAAAAACATAATTAGAAAAAACTTAAATCGCTGACACTCTTAATTAACTACAGAGCGACAGTGCTGTACTCCAAGAAATATATTTACGTGTTAGTGAAAGAGAATGATGCAGCAAAGATGATCAGACTTGTCGGGTTCAGTCACAATGTGAGCTACTGACTCAAAACATATAGTAAAAAAGAAAAACATGAGAAATGATTATAGAAATCAAAATTAAATTGTTAAATTAGTAGGTACTCTTTGCAAAGTGTGAAATCAAACATTATATCGGTTGTCCTGAACTATATTCAATGTGCAGTTTGCTTCGGTACTTTTTGAAAGACTAGATATGGGATTCTGAAATGGGGGTCCAAACATAAATCTTATCTGAATCAGCTGAAAAGCTTGTGTCACGTGATCTGTCTGCATCAGGCTGGCCATAGTCTGGGAAGGTAAACAAAGATGGCGTAAAGTCCAATTTCAGCACTTTTCAGTTGGGTGGATTTGTTTGTGATCAGTGTTTATGTGTCAATGCATTATTCAGTTTTACAAATTAAATGGAGTGCATGTAGCAAATTGTATCAACGTTAATCAGAACAAGACACCACAGCGTTGCACGCTTGTTTAGTTTATTTAGTTGTAATGTAATAAATAGTATTGTCAAATACTTTGAATGTAACACACTGACTGCCGAAGTGACAAGTACATTCAGTTAATGCAATATCCACTTACTATTGTGTTAATGACACCAAATGTATTTATGTGCAACCAAAGATTCCTAGAATTAAGGAAATCTTCAATTGAATTTGGCGCGTCGTGTTTCTAACGAGCAAAAACGGTGCATATCAAGAAATAGATGGAAAAATAATACCTAAATTAATTTCAAACATAAATTTATAAAGGACGAAAAATCAAGCACAACTCTTGGAGAGCACGTTACAACTTCTTAACAACTACAGTTAGTGAACTTTCTCACCGACCTTTCCCCGGTGCCGACCAGGTAAGTGTTGGTTCCCTGCAGGGTCATCGGTCCCGGGTTGCAGCCTAAAACCCGAACCACCCGAGCAGACAGCTGCTCTATCCGAGGTATAATGGCACTCATAGCTGTGAAGGTTTCTCCTGGTTGACAGAGCAACACATATAAATGTTAAAGGTTTCCAAAACCGTGATTATTTATCCATCGGAACGCAAAGCGGAAACAGCCGTGACGTACTTCCGGTAAATGTCTAAAGCTGGCCTTCAAAACAAAAGTCTTTGTTTTGGTTTTTTCGCCTTACAGCATGGCTACTCAAATGTTTGATGTTTTTGTTATTTATTGATTTAACAAAGGCCTTCTAACGATTGCAACACGGACTATTTTCCTTTCAGAGTTTACTACTTTTTATCAGCTTTTCTATTAGGCCATTGAATCAGTAAAAACAAACAAAAAAAAACTGTCTGTCTGTCTCTGTGTGTATATATATTATAATTTATTATATATTATTATATATATTTGTTAAGAAATCAGATCTCTCTCTTGCAAATGAGTCCCCGAAGCTCAATGGGATTACCCTGTAGAAATAAAGGTTGAATGAAAAAAAATAAAAATAAATATATATATATATATATATATATATATATATATATATATATATAT